GAAGGAAGGAAGGAAGGAAGGAAGGAAGGAAGGAAGGAAGGAAGGAAGACTATAGGAATATAGAAAAAATATGTATTAAGAAATAATTTGTCCCTTTATCACAAGCATAAACAATTTCAATAAATTATCACCTTCTCTTAAAATATAGCAAATGATCTCTTGTTCCCATATTCCATCTCTTATCTATAAACAAATCATTAAAACCTCATTGTTTAGTCTTGATCAGCAAATGTTCATTAAAGCTTAGTAGATGTAATAGCTAATATATTTTAACTTTGGTCAAATAAATTATATTTCTTCCTTTTAACAGTCCTAAATTTTAGTCCATTCAAATATCGTCCGGGAAGTTTATTATTTTTTTTTGTTCCCTTTCACAACATTTTTCCAAACTTCAGCACATCTTTTTTGTAAATCCAATGTAGAAAAGTTATTCAGATCATTGTTTTGGTTTATTATTTTCATATCTCTTTTGAGTTATTAATATTGCAGATGCTTTTATTTGTATAACCCAGTGTAGCATATTTTTCCATATCATTCCTGAAGGTTTAAATACAATTTCAGGTTAGTCTCAGTCTTGTCCAATAAAACTTGCTCCTCATTCATAATGTTTAAGTACAATCTGTCTATAATGGCAGACCTCTCCCTGTCCAGAGAAGAATTGCAAACAGTCAATCGATTTGCCAGTTCTTCATTCTGCCAAAGTCATCAGGTCTGCTCTTAGTGAAGTCACATTCAGTTTGCCATTTCTTCCCTGGTCATTAAAAGCATGAAATTGATCAAGTATTAGATTAGTCATAAAAATTGTGTTTCTCACATTAAAAAGTGGATTAGAAATATCTAACTTCCCAAAAGTATTAGCCATTTATTTAAGAAAAATGGTTACCCTCATTGATATCTCCATTATATAGCTTCATTTGTGTATTATAACATGTATCTTATTAAATGTATTAAATGGCACTAACAATATCACAATAAATTGAATTAACATCTCCAAATTGTTGCACAACCTTTACTGCTTCATGAATCAACTGCACTGGGAAATTAAGCAGAAACGTTCTCATCGGAACAAAGAAATATTTTGTGGTATAACCGAAGGATTCAGAATACACAAAGCACATGAAAGAGACAGAGACAGAAAACACTTGTGACCATAAGGCTTGGCCCAACTAAATTGTGGCTTTTTTATGACACTTATTACTTAGCTGTAACAAGTGTTTTGGGAGAAAAGCCCTGTAGAACCAAATTTAACAAAGTTATAACAAAGCTATATATGTATTATCTGAATATATATGAATGTGGAGGGGGGCTGTTTGAGTGTGGTGCCTCAAGTGTGTCTATTGACTCCTGGCAACTGCCTAGACAAGCCACTTAAGTTGTTCTATCCACTGATTTCCACACCTATCAATTATGATTTTTTTAAAAAAATATGGGTCAATTTGGTTGACCTATCAACCATTAGATACCAGCAAGGAGAAGGGTTTTTTTTTTGGCGGGGGGGACAGGGTGGGTTCATGTCTTGACTGCAATGTAGTAGCCATCTAGATTTCTAGATATGTACTAGATATGCATTACTGAGAAGCTGAAGTTTGAGAAATAATTTAACTATTGGGAATCATAGTGGGGATTATAAACTAACCTAGAAGTACTTATATAGTATAGCTCATATGGTGTTATTTTAAAGACATTCATCTGCTTAGCCGTTAGAGTTCACCAGCTGAATTTGGGCAGATTCATCGTTTCTTGAGATACTAAAAAATGACATTTTATATTTTTATTTATTTATTTATTTATATTTCACATTTCTGATCCACCCATCTACCTCCAAGGGAACTCTACTGGAGTGATTGATTGAATGATTGAATTAACACTGAAATATTACCTATTAGGTGTTCCAGATAACTTCTTTTAACTAAATGTTTTGCTTATTTCTAGTAACATTACAGTGTTCATTTTTCTTCTCTCAGGTCTAAAATGGGTACTAGCAAAGATCCAGACATAGTCCACATGGAGGCAAAAACACTGGATGGCCGTAAGTGCTGTGACCACCTTTTTATCATTTTCTCAGAATATAATTATGTAATCTACCAGCATTCATCTGAATATAGGATTGCATTAGGGAGATCCAACTGATGCTTTTAAGATTATTTTTAATCTGGTCATGCAATAAACATTTTGAAATAAATAGAAATTGAATATAACATTCTGAAATAGAAAACAATATTTTCAGAAGTAGAAAGATTTGCAATTTGTGACAAACTGAAAAAAGGCATAAAATGAAATATACATAATTCATAACAATATATTTTCTAGTAGGCATCATTTGATTTGCTAAAAGGTAAAATCTTCAAGCTTTTGACCCTTGGTTTATCTGTAACAAACTAGCCCTTAACTTATTCTGATCTTCAATTTACTCTTCCTGAGGAAAAGTTAGCAAAAAGGTAAATTGTTTGCTTTCATTCAAAAATCTTCAGCGTTGACCATTTTAACCAGCCTATGATTGCTGTAATAGCTTAATTATTGTATTTATATGCTCACACTATATATGACAATAAGATTTACTGGTTATTTTCTATGTACAGTGCTTAAATATTGCTCAAACTGATGCTGTCAGATATATTTGGACTAAAACAGTGGAATTTTCAGCTGGAATAACCAATTGATGGGAATTTTGAAAATTTCAATCATAACACATCTGAAGGACAAAATATTAAGAAGGTTACTTTAGGAGCAAAAGTTATTTTGCTTTGTTCAAGTATCGATGGATAAAGATTTTCAAATTTTAAATTTCAAATGTCACTGTTAATTGTACTTTTTTGTTTCTCTACAACACGAGTGTCAAACTTGATCACATAACATGATGTCACATAACACATCATGACTTTTTTGCCTTTGCAGAGCTGGGGTGGGCATGGCCTCCACGTGATGCATCTAGTCCATGGGCCACCAGCTTGAACCCCCCGCCTTGTTCTACAACATACGCGCATGTACTTTAAGATAGAGTGAAATGTATTAGGGCACATTCTGCCATTCATTCCTTAGGTAGCCAATCAATTTTAAAAATGTAAATTAATATTGTATATAGTGTCAAGTATGTATAATATGAGTAATGAACCCAATCAATTCAGTGCTTCAAGATGAACAACTTTCTCAAAGAACTGTTTTATTGAATACATAATTTTGGCATGCATGAAAACAAAACCATTTCCCGTGTTTTCCATATAATTAAAGAATAGATAATTCCCTCTCTCATTGTCACAGGTCACATTGTCCAATTAGGCATTCTACCATCTATCTGGCAACTCCTTCTAGTCTCTGACCAGCACCTGTTGAGATGATCTTGGTTGATCTGTTGTTATTTTCTGGTCTGACATTCTAAACCTTTCCTCCTTCCCATACTATGTAGCAAGCTGAGAAACAGAAAGATAGCTGTGGCAGACCTGATCCATTTCAAAGTGGACACATAGCATATATGTGTAGTATTCAGCTTATATTTAAATAATATTCAGTAGTAACATTTGAAATATTTAATTTTAATCTAACATTAACATTTTGCAAACTCCAGAAGAATTGTTCAGAAAGAATAATTATGAGAAATGAAATAAAGTTCGGTGTTTATATTTCAACATTTTTAGCTAGAGATGCTTAGAAGGTTTTCCCATTCATCACTAGCTATCTTGAAATTCCCCCCCCCCCGCCTTCAATATCTATTCTATTTTGATAAACAGATGAAATTAGTTAGTTAGTTTACTTTATTGTCATTGCACCTCGTACAATGAAATCAAACACCAGCTTCAGTGCATATCGTGACCATGAAAATAAACACAAACATACATCCTTTACACTCCACACATTGAACCAAAAACCCCCAACACCGCACCAACACTGCACTTTATGATAGAACTCAAAAGAGCTACTGCCCTGGGATAGAAACTGTTTTGCAGCCTATTTGTGCTTATTTTTATTATTCTGTACCATAGAGTGGAATGTGGTGTCAATTTCCATATTTCTAAAATTGTTTGCCCTAAATAAGACATACTAATATGAATCAGTGCTATAATAGTATTAGGAAGATGCTCTCTCAGCATAACCACCCTTTAAGTCAATAAAGTTTTTGAAAAGATCAGTGGGACCACAAGACCCAAACTAGTATCTGAATTTCAGATTTCTTTGGGATCATTAAATATCAGAGAATGTACTGAGTAAACATCCTTTTATTCTATAATAAATCTGATTCTTGCTCACAGTCCATTACACATCTCCTTCAGCTATCCAACACTAAATTAGCCCATTGTGGCCCTTCTTACTTCAGTTTTTGTTTTGGCCAGTGTGATGTGCAATTAAATGAAATTTAGTGATACTATCTACACTAACCTTATCAGTCAAGCAATCCATATCTACTTATGTAATCAGGATGCAATATTCTTTTACTAACAGTATTTTCTATTGGGTGTCAAAGATGACTTGCTCATACTATTCTCTTCTGTGGAGGTTGAGGGCAACTGGTTGCAGGTAACAGATGTGACCATGCCTTTCAAAGTAGAGTACCAGTGAGTGAGGCAGTGAACCAGGCAACCCGCTTCATCCATATAGTCCAGCTCTTCTAAGAGATAGAAGCAAAACTGCACTAGGTTGCATTAAATAACCATTAAAGGATATTAATGTATCTAGACCAAGATGGATTACCATGGTTGAAATTTTTTGTCATCTTTCTATAATTTTGATATATGAATTCACTCTGCAACCTAGAAACTGTGGAATAATATGGTATATGTCATATTAAGGTAAAGAAAGAATATGACATTTGTTCTAGTATCTTTCTGATGAATAAGATAAAATCCAAATAATATTGGCATGTACACCAGAGGTTTCTCAAAAGTAAAATAATGCAGGGACTTTCTTAACATCAAAAGGCAAGGATACAAGTGGTGGGTGGCTGCATTCTTCATGCATCTTTCAATAGAAATGCTTCCTCATGCTTCCTGACCTATTCTAGTCTGGAATTATTGTTTGACAAGAAATCTTCTTGAAATGAATATGTTTGTAAGCTCTGGTACAATTTTCCACATTCTAGCTGTCTAATGCTAATGTCCCACAGTCAGTGAAGAAATTGAAAAGGTTGGGCATTTCAGTAAACCAAAAGTTTTCTCAGTTTAGCCACTCCATCTAAATAGGGGTGTCAAACTCACAGCATCAAGATATTGTCATGTGACATATCACGACTTTTACTTCGCTAAAACAGGGATGGGCATGGACAATGTATGACTCATCTGGCCCATGACCATGAGTTTGACACCCCTGATCTACCCTAACCTTATCAGTGAGACAATCCAAATATAGTTTTGTAATCAGGATGCTGCATGTTTCCAGTGTTGCTGTAACAATCAAAGCAGCAGCTGTTGCTGGAGATGTACATGCTGGCAGTGAGAAACTTAACATCCAAATTATTGGTGGGAGGGATAACATCTCTGCTAGAGAAAAAAATAAATTAATTCCAGATCTCAGCAATGAAATATATTAATTGGCATGAATTAAGTGTAAGTGATTAGGTGCTTCCTGTGGTACTGGATAAATAAAGTACCCACAGGGATTAACTATCAAAAGAATAATTGTTGCTACATGGCTTCCCAGTGAACCTAACTTAAGGAAATAAAGGTTATTGTTATAAGATTCTGAACATATTCCCAATATTTATATTATTTTTCTGAACTTTTCCTGAAATCCTTTTAATACTTTGAAGTCTCAAGAAAGCAATTATCAGCTTGCTTCTGATCACCACATATAGAGCAAAAAATGTGAAATTATAGTGATGTTGTTATAGTTCTTTACTTACATCTGAATGTCTAATTGAATATAATAATATAACATAACATAATGATATTATATGCTATATAATGATGCGGTCAACATTTGATGTATTTTATAAATAAGAACTTTATCAGAACTTAGTAGGATATCTATTAATACAAATACATGGGAACATCAGTTGAGTATAATTGCAGAGGGCATAAAATATATTCAGCATATTAATTACCAATACAATGCAACATACCCCCCCCCAAATAGCAACATTTAGCAAAGTGTTCAGTTATTGTCATAATTTAGAAATAAATTGTGGGAAAGAATATTTCTCTCAATGGTCCAAGGTCAGACCATAGAAAGAACCACAGCATACATGCCCAATAACAAAGAGCACATCAACGTAAGGCAAACCAGTCTTTAATCTTCAGTCCGGAGCCTTGGTACACTGTGAGTAGGAACATCAAAGTCCCTTGAAAAGTCAGCACTGGGAGCTTCAGCCTCCCAGCCCGTAGGCACCACACCCTCATGTCATCTAGCCACACACCCCAAGTCATCCAACATGTGGTACCAGCCTTCCCTGCCTTCCAGCAACCACAGTTCTTCCCACCCCTTCTGGAGCTATGTTCTGTCTCCTCACACCATTGGCAACAACAGTAGTCCCATCTTTTTCATCTAAGTGGGCCAGCTGGCAGGTGATCAACTGGCCAGTAGAGCCCATCTGTTCTGGACCTCTTGCAGCAGCCTCCCAACTGGAAGCTCGATCCATAGGCATTCAGCTGTTGAGTGGCTAGCAGACGAGCGGAGAAGTCCTGCTGCTGCAGCTGCGGCCTCACTTGTTGCTCCTGTTGCTCTTGTGGCTCCATCTGCTTTGTGAAGCTGCCTCACTGGTTTATTTTGGACTGACTCTCCAGGTATGGTGACCCCTGGATAAGGGCTGACCCTTTCTTCATCAAGCTGTAATATGCGATGCTCTGTGGAAATCTCTGGCAGGAATGATTCCCTAGGAGAATATTACTATGAACCATCTCCACCACCGTCCAAAAGAATTTTAAAAGCTGGTTGTCCTTAGGAGTACTTTTTTATGAAAAAAAACAAAATACCGCAGTGGCGGGGGCTGATTCTTCACATAACCAGTAGTTCATTGTTCACTTGAAAAAAAATGTTTTCAAATCTAATTTCCCTTAACTTTCTTCTTAGACAATTCTTTTTTCTTTCAAAAATGTAGTCATTGCTGTCAACACATAGCCTTCAGAATTTTCTGCAATAGTCCACTTATGTGTTACCATAGCCGAAAAGACAAAGTCATCCATATATTCTGTTAACATTAGATATAACTTAGAAGTATTCCAAGTCATAGGAGCTATATCTCTGTAAAAAAGGAAAGATACCGAAGAGGTCATGAAGTTCAATTTCTAATATCTTGGGCAGCTTTATTCTCTGACTCTTGGTCTATGTTTTTCAATTCTTTCTTGCTCCTACGAGACAGCATGAAGATTCACATAAACTCAAGACACCAATATTCACTGGAAAAAAAACATAAACTTTATTCAAAATGGGTTTAAGTCTTCATGTGCCTTATAGGCCCATTTAGATCTTAGGTTAGTGTAGTGAATCTGGCCAAATCTCTAGAGATGGCTCAAGAAAAAAGGAAATGATACAAAATACACAATATAAATTGCTGAAATAGAATGTTCTTGTACTGATGATTTAATTTTGAGGCCTGCAATTTAAAAAAAATAGAGAAAGCAGACAAAAGTATAGATCAGGGGTGTCAAACTTGCAATGTCATGTAATGTATTGGGACTTTTTTCCCCTTTGCTAAACCAAGTGGAGGCAGGACCAGCATGTGACGCATCTGGCCCATTGGCCATGAGTTTGACATTCCTGGTATAGACATTCCTACGTGTACTTCAGCTATCTCTTCATTTGATTTTTTTTAAAAAAATCAGTTTTATTTATTTTTTTCTCTTGCACACTTAAAAAAATTCAGTTGGGGTTCTTTTTATCTAAAAATCCTCTAAAAGTCACAAGAAAGCAAGAAAAAGTTGTGCCTATTTATTGCACTTTCGCTCTCTTATTGGCTATCATAATGTGACTAATTTTTGCAGACAGAGATCTCTATATGAAATATTTAAGTACAGGTAATCTTCAACTTACAACCACATCTGAGCCCAAACTGTCTGTTGCTGAGACAGTTTTAAAGTGTTTTTTTCCCATCTTACAATCTTTCCTGCCACAGTTGTTAAGTGAAACACTGCAGTTATTAGGTGAATAACATGGTTGTAAAGTGAATCTGGATCCCTCATTGAAGGTTGCAAAAGGTGATTACTTGACTCCAGGGCATTGCGATCATCATAAATATGAATCAGTTGCCCATCTGAAGGCTGACCATGGGGATGCTGCATTGACACGTGTAGAAAATGGTTGTCACTTTTTTCATTGCTATTGTAACTTCAGACAGTCACTAAATGAAAGGTTGTAAGTCAAGGGCTTCCCATAAAAGATGATGAATATCCAGAGCTGAAATCATCTTATATTTATGTGTGTTTCTTTGTGTGCTTTCAGATGCACAGTACATCACCTGTAGGATGCAGAACTGCTCTGAAGCTGTAAGAAGCAAACCTTTCCCTGGATACATTGATTCCGACTCTCTCATTGTCCAAGATGATTATGTATTTGTTCAGGTCTGAAACAATTTTTCCCCCTTCTATTGATTACAAATCATTTTTTTCAATGTTAAACTCCCTTTCCTAACAGATGCAACACAATAGCTTGAGTACAAGCTATTTCAGGACATCACCCAATTTGTTATTCCCATTGGGATGCTAATTGTTTCTTTTGGCCTTTGGTTCAAGTACTTTGTTAACACAACGGTCATGAAGGGTGGGGTCTAACTTATGTTCAAGGTGTATGGAAATAATTTCTCTTGTCACTCAGCTCTCCACATTGTCTATTCCAAAAATGTTCTCATATTTCAACAGGTTTTTAAGTTTGCATGCCAGTGTTCCAATATCACCATTACAACAGACCAATCAAGGTTTTCTTTTTTATTAGTTTGAAATGGGACAAGATAGAGTCTCTTTTTAGAGATAGAATGGAGATATAGAAAGGGAATGCTTGAGATAAGACTAATCAGGCATGATTGTCATGTGTGGGCTCCTATTATTGTGAAAAAGGAAGAAAATTAGATATATTCAGCTGAGCTATGTTCCAGGTGGAAGCCAGAGAATATATCTGAATAGTTTTAAGTTTCATTATCTTCCTGCTGCTATCCCCATCATAACAAGAAGGAGGAAATAAAGTGCCGGCAAAGTGGAGATGAGCTATAAATTATCTGTCTTTCAAGTATTTCTTGAGGCTGAGGTTCCTGGCTTGCATCAGCATATATATTTTGAAGCTGGATTGTCTATAACCAGGAATTTTTAAGTGGGCTAAAGGTAGAAAATCCTGAACGTGTTACCAAATGCTGTCAGCTGTACCACTCTAGCCTCTAAGTTCTCTGAGAATATCATTTCCTTCCAAATAGAATAAATATCAACTCTTCTGAGAGGTAGAACAATACATTGTCTCATTTCTTTTCTTTTTGTGTGTAGAAAAAAGTGTGATAAATTCGGCTACCATGGAAAATATGGGGAAAACTCTTTATTTGTTATTTCATTCATTGTTTGACACATCCATAATTAATAATGGATCAGGCCTTAGTGTACACTTAACAGGTTTTACATATTCATAGTTTTGACTTCTAATTTTTTGTTTATCCATGTGTAAAAGAGAGACATACTTTTGAATATGCATAGTGTATATTTTTAAGGGCTAAGATTAAGTAACCTATTTGTGTATTTGTTCCCACTTATCATTCACTATACCAGGGGGCTGCATGTGATTTCTTCATTCTTATCCTGTAGAAGCATCCTGATCAAATGGTGATAATAATCTTTCTCATGCAGTGTTGCACATTTGTTTGCACAGCTCTTTCACAACCTTGGTAGAAGGAACTGTTGATTGTATACTAGTGCTGACCTCCAATTGCTATGAATACTCTGTTGGCAATACTGAGCAACATGATTGAGAAAGGCCCCAATGAGATTACAAAAGAACTGCAGCAGAAGCTGGCATGAGTAATGTGAAGCAGACAAAGTGATCATCTACATCACCAGTTGAAGAAATCATTCTGGGGAACAAAAATCAATTACCATGAGGAAGCCATGTGGAACCTCACAGCTGGACAAACCCAGAAAGATAAAGCAAAGAAAAAGAGACATGAATAGAAGTACAGTTGATTGCTTTACAAGAAAGAAGGAAGACATAAATCACTATAGGTTCTGAAACCTAAAGCCTGATTAAATAGTATAAAGGAAAATCCGTAAGTGAAGAGAAGCTCTTACAACCTCTACATGGTACAAAGTTAAATTCTGCCAATTTGAACATATATTAGCTATTTATCTCAATTTTGGGGTAAAAGTCCCCAAATTTGTCAGAACTGTAAACCAAAATGTACAGGTTACTGCAAATAATATGTTGAAAATGATAATTCACACCAAATAGATTCACAATATAATGTTACTTATGCAACAATAATTGGCATGGCCTTTTCTCCTCAATCCAAAATTATCATCTAAAATATGCAAACAAAAACATGTCAATAAGCCGGAAATGTTTTTGGAAGAAAGTTCTTTGGACTGTTCAAACAAAATTGACATATTTGGTTATAAGCACATAGAAAAATTTTGGGAGAAAAGGTGAAAAATATGTTGGAATCATTAAGCATAAGATGGGCTGCATTATTATTTGAAATCATGTGATAGTAGTAACATAGGAAATAATATATATGAAAAGAAGAATGAATTCAACTATATGTAACAGATAACAGATAATCAAAGTTGGAAGGGACCTTGTAGGTCATCTAGTCCAACCCCAGCCCAAGCGGGAGACCCTATACCATTTCTGACAAATGGCAGTCCAATCTCTTCTTGAAAGTCTCAAGTGATGGTGCTCCCATAACTTCTGAGGGCAAACTGTTCCATTGGTTGATTGTTCTCACTGTCAGAAAGTTTCTCCTTATTTCCAGGTTAATTCTCTCCTTGTTCAGTTTCCATCCATTATTCCTTGTCAGGCCTACAGGTGCTTTAGAAGATAGCTTGACCCCTTCTTCCCTGTGGCAGCCCCTCAAATATTGGAAGACTGCTATTATGTCTCCCTTGGTCCTTCTCTTTACTAGACTATCTAAGCCCAGTTCTTGTAACCATTTTTATGTGCTAGAGTTAATGTCTCACAGTCAATGAAGAAATCGAAAAGGTTGGGCATTTCAGTAAGACAGCAAAATCAGCTGTATGCCCTTCAGAGCTCCCTCAGTATATCTGAAGTTGGGAAAATGTCAAAAATGCAATATGTGCAAGGAGGTATAGAATATTTCTTAACTATAAGAGAGTATAGTGTATTTTGGTTTGGTATACTGGTTAAGGCAATAGGCTAGGAATCAGGAGACAGTGAGCTCTAGTATTGCTTTAGGCATACAATCAGCTGGGTGACCCCAGGCCAGCACCTTCCTCTAAGCCATAGGAAGAAGGAATGGCAACCACTTACACAATCTTGCACGGATGTGTCCAGACAGTCACCAGTCAACACTGACAGAAAGGAAGGAAGGAAGGAAGGAAGGAAGGAAGGAAGGAAGGAAGGAAG